GTTTCTGCCAGCCGTTTGCAAGGTCACTTTGTGGCGAACTAACTCTTCGTGACCAGATTGGTGGCCCGCAATGGTGGATTTGAAAGCCGACAGGACCGGGGGCTTTTCGATTGCTTGGATGAGTCTGGGGGCGTTATTCATAGTGTGATTGCTGATTGCAGGACGATTTCCGGACGTGTGGAAAGGCTCTAGAGGCGACGAAGTACGCCATTGGGCTCGCCACGGAGGTAAGGCACGGAAGTTCCCTTAGTATACAGATTGCCTTCTCAAGGCGCACTTGAATTTAGCGTGTCTTAGAGGAGGTAATGCAGTCGCTACACTGAGTACTTTGAAGAATCTTCAACAGCCTCTACGCCACCTTACTGTCCATTGAGTCCCACGACCATCAGCTTGTGTGATCTTCCGCTAGTTATTCCTTGAGGATAAAAAAGCTGGTGGATTGGCGCCGCGTTTGTTGGAGGTGGCGTCGGTGATGCGAAAAAGCGGTTTGACGATGTGGATAGTGCTGCTCTGCGTTGGCTGCTTCTCCACACGAGTGTGTCACCAATTGCGATGTCCACACCGTTCCGTATATCAGGTCTCCGGTTGGACCCTCCTGTTGCTCAGTGTCAGAGTTCATTGGCACAAACCGTGCAGCCGCATCCCTTCTATACCGCGTCACCGTCATCGTTCATGAGTCGCGCGGACGCGCATGCACAAAAGCCGTGGTTCTCACAGCCGTTTCAGGGCGGTGTGGTTGGAAATCAGATGCAGTTTCGGTCCTTGTTTTCCATATCGCAGGAGTTTGTGAAGACAGGACTGCCTCAACAGAGATCGACAAACTTGCAGCTCCTCAGTGCTGCAATGCGGGTGTGGGAATGGATGAATCTTTCCCAAGTCCTTACCTCTTGGCCACCGCGTCCGCATGCCGATCCGTCGCTTCTGCTGTTCCCCAGATGAGCCCCAGCTGGCTGGCTATGCGCGTGTCGTACGGCATGAACGGCATTGTGATGCGGTCGCGGGACCTGCCGCCCTTCTCCGACTTCCTGCGGGAGCACCTGGCGCGCCTGCCGCCTGATCTCCTCTGGACGGTGAGCGCACCGTATCTAGCACGCGCTGCCTCGTCAATCGTCATTATCGTTCTTCGTCGTTCTCGTGCTTTGTCTTTCAGTGAACTTACGACAGCAAGGTAGACCGTAAAAGCTTTGGATGGGCTCTGTAAGCTTGCGCTTGGCTAGATGGTCTCTTTCGAAGTTGGGTTGGAGTATCAGACACTGCAGGCAGATTACATGGCAACATCGAGTGGAGCATGGTGATAACTGCAAGAGTTGCAACCTTTGTACACGTGAGATGCGGCAAGGATTGCTTGTCAAGTGATCCCAAAGATCGTAAACCCATGGCGCGTCCAAACCCGGGACCCAGGTGGACAGCCCAGAGTGGGACGGTGCTCGCGGCTCTGTATCTCGGATTGAAAAGTGGTGCCCGACCTTCTCTTTGCAAACTGGGGGTAAATGCGTGATCTGTGTGCTAGATTGCCTTAGCAGCTATAAGGCTAGGATGATTTCCGAATGTCCTGCTGACGTCGGCCACTTCGGAACGCTGCTTCCCATTCCGGGCAAAACTCTCCGAGAGTCAACTTGTTACAAGCGTTATTCAGCTGTCTTCTTTGTCACGCCCCCCGCTGTTGTGCAGGGTTACCTGGACGGGCGCACGTACGACAAGCCCGAGGAGGACACGCGCGTGAACCGGGGCCCGCTCATGGTGTTCAAGCACAACCTGTTTGACCACATCGGGACGGTCTCCTCGTTCGAAGTGCGACCAGACCGGCCGAAGTGGTGAGGCGCCCGTTCCTCAAGCAACAGAACACTTTTGAAGTGGACGGAGGCTGGTCGTACGTGGTTCTCCGTTTCGAATTCGGACGGGTTTGTAAGACGCGGGCGTCCTTTGCGGGGATGTTTCTTCCAGTCCTTTGGTAGCCCGGATGGAGGCCATTCACAAGCCGCTGCGTGGATCACCCACGCTTTTCGTCTACTTTTGTACTACTACTTACTGCCACTGACTTTGAAAGCCTTGGATCCACTACGACAGCAGATGACGGGAAGTGAAAACGACTGTTAGGTTGAAACTGCAAAGAAATCGTTCCAAGGTGGAAACTGTGCTCCTTCTACGAGAAGCGATTGATTAATTGAGCAGGTCACAAGATAGCCTACCTGCGGCACGAGGGTTGCCCAACGGGCTTCAACCATGAACGGTTCCATCTTGAACGTGCTCGGAGATGGAACGGCTGTAAATTATATTTGGGGTGTCCCAATCGGTCACTTCGCTGCCTGCGATATCCCTCTTGACGTTGCAAGTTTGACGTGCTCTCGTCTCTCTGACCGGCCAGCGGTCAGAATCACATGTGGCCGAAATCTCCGGAGAGCAGGTTAGTTGTACGTGTCTACCCCTCGATGAACGGGTTACCGACCTCAGGCTCAGCACTTCTGTTATTGAGTACCTCGGCTGCCCACTCAATCACCTTTCCAGCTCTTTTGTCGTCCTGACTCATCCTGTTGCACTCGCAGGCCGGGTTGTTACGAGTCTATGGCAAACGTCTGGTCGTTGCAAGAGCACGAGCGATTCGATCCACGGTGCGACGAGTTTGACGTCTCCCCGTGCATCGGATTGACCACGGACTCAAAGGCCGCTCTGATATACAAGGGCGGGCATTCTTTCCAGCCTCCTTAAGCTTGTCGACCTTTAGTCGAGAAATGAGCACACGCTATCCGCAGATTCGCAAGAGGATATCAGGGGGTTTGCCCCTAGTCAGATACTTGGTTGAGAGCTCGGTTGATCAATTCGATCAATTATTGCAGCCTCATCGGTTCTTTGCGCAATCGTCAGGTTAACTGCTAAGTCTTTCAGTTTACTGCGGGCTTCTATGAACATACGTAAGTTCCCCTCGCTCTCGAATCCGTCAAAGTCAGTTGCCTGATTGGACTTGTTGACTTGGTAGATCCCTGCAGTTGAACTGACGTTCCATAAAATGGGGAAAGCTAGAGCTATAGCCAATTGCTCGGACCAAAAAAAAGCGATCTCAAAATCAGAGAGCTTATGTACGCCACCGGACGATTGAATATGAATGGCAGAGCCAATACTGCTAGCTAGTCACGAGCAATCTAAGACATGCAGTTACAGCCGCTAGTTCAAAATCGACAACATAAGATCATCGAATGTGTGCGTCAGGGGAAGCCTATCGGGCGCTGGCCGTGCACTGGCTACCGTCAGCCTTACTACGATCAGCCTGGGCCCGTAATAGCATCGCAATCGATTCAGTCGCATCATGGTCTTACTTCACTGGACCATGGTTGAGCAGTTGCCAGGAGCTAGGTTTGGACTAATGTAGCACACGAAGATTTGGGAGGGTATAGATAGGCTTACAGAACGCAAACATTTATGACCATGTATGCCATGGCAGCCTATGGCCCATGTGACTACGGCGTTTGAAAAGAGAACATCATAGCATGCCACTCGTGATCGATCGACCCATAAAGGACCGTCCGTCCTGAATGATTGCCTCACTTGATCGGTTTATCTATTGGTGCATGTATGCATGCAACATGGGTTGGATGCCTGAAACTGATCGCGCGCGCTCATGTGCATATCATGCAAGTATGTCGCTAGCAGTGCACTGAAGCTGCTGGCGCACGATTGCATATGCCTGTAGCTAGCCCCGTATGCAATGATATAGCGGGCGCGCATCACATGCTGGCGGCACTGATGCATGCAGTTGGATATGACATGGTGCATATGGACAAGGTGCCGGATACACTATGCCGCGGTGGCTATTTCAAGCTAAATGGTGGCTATATCACTGATCGATCGGTGCTATTAAATTTTCAATTCAAAATGGTGAGCTAGCTAGAGTATCATGCAACCCGCATAAAGACATATGAATGCAGTCCACGCCTCTTCAAACCGACATGCCAGCAGCCTTCAATGTATTCCACGGAATCATGCAACCGACCATGATACAAGGCCAAGCTAAGAAGCATCATGTGCCTTGTTGGAAAAGCTATCTGAAAGTACACGTCAGGCGGAGACGCGTTGAGCTCTACATCTTCAGATTTACGCAAGATAGTAGAATTGCTTCATTAAAATGGTTGAACAGCTTCCGAGATATACATTGGCCAGGTCGTCTAAATTCCGCACGCGCATGCTACTCTTTGCAGAGCGCTCCGCATGCCCGTGCTCATGGAACGCATCTGACTCGTTGCTGCCCCCTGGGCGGCAACACGGCTAGCAGACCTGACAGAGCACAACCCACTGGATGACTGCAACCTGAACGCAGGCTTGGCAGCAACAGCGGTGCCCCTGAAGGAAGAGCCGAAAGACTCCACGATGAGTGCCTCAACTCTAGGTGCGGGGATGGAGCGGGAGGCTGGAGGAGATGCGAGCGACGCGGATGCCTTGTTGCTCCTCTTCTTCTTGTCCCCCTCCTTCTTTTTGCGGCTCCCGTAGTAGGGCTCCTCCGTTTTGTTGAAATCGACCATGGGGAGAATGCCAATCTGACGGAGGAGGCTGTGGACAGTGTCCGTGGGCTGGGCCCCGCAGTCCAGCCAGTGCCTGGTGTGCAGGAAGCAGAACAAATGTGAGCGTCAACAGATGTGACTCCAAGAAACCATACCAGCTATACAAGATTAGAGGCGCAAGCATGAGCTATGAAGTCGCTGCGAGCAGGATTATTGTCTGATATTTGTGCAAAAGCTGAGGGTGCCCACACGGTCGAGAATAGTGCATTTGCAATACTGGGGCCGCAAAAAGCATTTTCTAGTGTCTTGCAATCAGGTCAAAGCATGTAAGTACACATTCCTGGCTCCTCTAAGGCTCAACCAGGTGGTGGACTTGATACCTGGTACGGAAAGCACTCCAACGGTCTACAGAAGCCGCCAATGAAATTTGGTAGACGCCCGATTCGTGAGCCAAACAATTCTTGCCCCTAGTTGACTCCTTTCCCGCTCAGGAAGAATCCAGAGGGAGGAAGTGGAGCCGTAAGCTCCTGGACCGGTGAAAGAGCCAGGGAACAAGTGAACTCACTGGATGCGCTCCGCCTTCACATTGATCGTGTGGTTCATGCCCGGCCGTCCTGAGAGAACAGGACACTCAAATTCGAGGCGTCGTTAGCATCAAAGCGGTCACAGGACTCCAACTTACTATGTACATATTGCTCGATTGTTGACAACATGAGAATGCAGCCTCCATAGTAAGTGGCGTCATTCCATCCCGCACCTTTGTTGATGACTAGTGGTGTGGTACAGAAGTGGCATCACGGATGTTCTGAGTCGTGGACCCGTCCTAGATGCACCTCTCAAGCAAGCTTCTGAGCAGACATGGTGGCATTGTAAAGCAGCCAACTTAGCACCAAAGCAGGCAAGAGAAAGCACACTAGGTCTTGGAAAACTTCCAAGCTAGTTAAGCCACACTTTGCAACAAACAAGCTTTGTAACTGGTGGTACGTCAGCTCACCAGCTTTTGGGTCATACTGCCCCAGAATCTCGATGAATGCGCCATCGCGAGGAGCTTTTGAGTCCGCAGCAACGAGGCGGTAAATGGGCAAGCGAATCCTGCCCTTCCGCTGCAAGCGTATCTTGACAGCCATGGCCTTACGTCAGCTGTACCCCGCAGCAGACTACTGATCACCTGTTCTAAGCATCCCGCGCTCGCCTTGCCGCTCTCAAGACTCCTTGAAGGGGGCTCATCGGAGAGAGCGTTTGGAGATCTGAATAATCTGATTGGCTACTTGGCGCCATGCTTAAACAACGACTGCACCGCAGGTTCGAGTATGTATGCTGTGTCAATAGTAAGCGAACACGCAGACTGGATCATGCCCCGGTCGTCTTACGGCGGCCCTCACAGGCTCGAACTATATCTGTAGCCACTGCTCGGTGGTTCGAACCCCCCCCCGCCCCCCCCCTCTAAAGTGTCTATGTATCTACCGGGCCCGTTTTGAATCATCCCGGTCGTCATGCAGCGGCATCCTCAGATTCGCACAGAACTGCAGCTAGTGCCCGGTGGCTAGACCCCCCCCGCCCCCCCTCTCAATGTGTCCACCACGGTGATATCACTTTCACACAGCCGCAGGATGATTCAATGGGGATTCAATTGATTTTGAAGCCGTCTCAGCCGTCGATATCTAGCTTTGGCACCCTCATCGCCACCCAAATCTCTTGAGAACAGTGGACAGCCGTCGACTGTTTGAATCTGTGGACTGGGACCGTCGATGTGGGTGACTCCAACCAAAATATCCAGAATATCCGATCTCCAACTTGTATTGCAGCCTGAGCTCTTCATTCCTCTTCAACTTGCTGATCCTGACAAAGAACCCATTGGCGTTACAATCATGTCAAGAGCGCCATGAGCCTAGCCATATCCAAAATTCAGATCACCACCTTCACAAGTGCGCACAGCCGGCGGCCAGCCGTTCTCCCTAGGCACTTCCCGAAATCCTCCGATCCTCCGGATTTGCAATAAGAGCCGCCCATCTTTGCCAAAGGATAGAAGGATTTGAGACCAAGTCTCCAAGTCTATGCCTCGGTTTTGCCCAACGGTTCTGCCTGCCAAGCTTTGATCAGGATCTCGCGCATTCAAGCGCACTTGGCTGCTTGCCACGGGCCAACCCGGCTATTACTTTGCAGGACCTCAGCCCTTGAGCCAACAGGTAAACATGAGACATTTCCCACACTTACTTTTTCATTGGGTCTGAGTTCTGTACGAACGGCCTCAAATTTCAAGCTCTTTCAAGATAACCTGCTTCGAAACTACGTCTGCAAAAGTAGACTGACTGTTGCTAAGGATTGGATCACTGGATATGTTGACTTACAATGATCTTTCAGTCTTTTGGCGGCGGCTCATTTCCACAATGTTCTCAACGATGAAGCATTGTAACTTCTTTAAACTAAAGCACTTGACAACTTACAAAGACAATGCATGACAGTGTGGCAACGTGTCTTTCGTGCCAGGCTGTAATTCATAGTCAGCATTTCAAAGTTTTTGGCTGCAAACATTCTTCCTTTTGTGTCAGTATCACATTATATTTCAGGGCAACGACCGATATGATCTGATTGGAACTGTATCTGCTTCAAAGACATGTTTTCCAGGTGCAGTTAACAGTCGCCTTCATTGAAGGGACTCGCTGTTTCCAGCTTACACTTCGCAACCTCTGCTTCGTGTCAAATGCGACCGCATGTTTCAAATTTTGCTTGTGCCACAGGCGCAGCAAAGACTCTGCACAGTTCTCAAGCAGCCTTACAGCACACGCTGCCAACGCGTCCACTCTTCGCCGCCAACACATGTGTCAAACCACAGTGCCCAGTCGCGTTGTATCATCCCTCTATTGTGCACCTTGATGGCGAGTCAGCACAATCACTCTTGACCAAAACAGATGATCTCTCAACTTCTACCAAACGACCATCAGTTCCAGCTTATGTTGTCTTTACTATGCAAACAAAGCTAAGCTCAGAGCAGATTCATGTGTCTTTGGACTACTTGAAGGCACGGTGCCTCAATTGACCACACATCTTGTTACTTTAGTATGATTCTTGAATGAGACAATGAACTTGCGCCAGGCAGTTCTCAATGCCAATGGTGGTCTGAAAAGCTTCAACCTCATTAGCCTCACGCTCTCATGTTGGATTCCCATCAAATCCGCTTGTATAAATCCCCCCAGATTGCATTTCAGAATCCCTTGAGCACATGAGGTTTCGGATGGCCAACTTCTGCATAGTACAATTTTTCGGTTCTACAACAATCGCAATGTCCTTATCGTTTTGAAATTGCCGCACTGATGTACCAGGGAACCGACCTCATTTCTGCCGACATGCATTTCGACTATCGCAAGCATCTTAGCATATACTGCATGCCTTGAAGTGCAAACATGTTGTTGAGCTGCATCAAATGGACGCCCTCGTTTTTCAATGTCTTGCGCGGACCTGCCTAAGATATAAACCTCGAATTTATGGCAAGTGATACATCATCCTACTATCCTATGATTTTGTTGAATCCAGTAGGCCGCTCAAGCGGGATCTAGTGTTCAAACTGGGAATGCGGTCATCCGCTAGATTGATTGCTCAAACAAGCTCAATGATATGCTGCAAAACGCACAGGGGACGCGCAGCAACTATTCTCGATCACCGTTCATACCTAGATATATGTATAATGAGTGTTGAAAACATTTTGAGACTCATAACCCTGATGCTTTGATCCGATCAGCTCAGACTTGCCAGATCGGACAAGATTTGCCGCCTCGCCGTCCAATCGAGTCCGAATGATCGCAAATGCGCAGACAAGCGCTCAGACCCGCGCTCAAAGTCCGAGTCAACTTAGCCCCCCATACTCCATGGCGGCTCCTTTTGGACTAGCTAGCGAGCTAGAAGCAATGATCATTGGGTCATTGCTTGCAAGACAAAGCCAGATCCACCAGACCACTGCCGCAAGGCCAGCTCATCCAAAGACTGATCCAAGTTCCAGTGCTCGGCGGAACTTTTGCAGGGTACGCAGCAGGGTGCCATACCTTACATCGGACGGCACACGTTCCCTGTTTTCGCATCGACGGTTCTCGACTGCAGTAACGCTTGTTTTGAAATTAGCCCCAGGCTCATCAGTGGGTGCGGCCGCGGCCATGGGTGCAGTACTACATATCGGACGGCTGGAAACAAAGCCATCCAAGTATCCACGGCTCGCATGCTCGCAGTCGAGCCCCCTCACTCTTGATTCCTTCAGGTTCAAGTGGTGTCTGGTCTCTGTTCTGCTGCCCTGGAATGAAACATTGAAAGGGAACCCGCGCGCAGAACGCACCCTGACTTCTTGTTTGATCGGGGGATGACTTCGCCCCCCACAAAAGAGTTTCCCGGCGTCATGATCTACGTTCGACCCTTCGATTCATCCATCTGACGGGCTTCCTCTCGTTCAGCGCGCAGAACCTTAAGCAGCCCCCTAAGGCTAAAGGCTGAGGCTAGGTGCTAGCTTTGTGGGTGAGCTCTGTGCATTGACTCAATCAGAGAGCAGCTCGGTGGACATCGTCTTTCTTTGATTCTGATTAATTAGGTAGAGATCTGTTCTTTGATGGCGGGTGGTGACGGCAGGGACAGCCCTTTTGGCATACTGCTACCAAGCTGCTGACAACGCTGGACCCTCGGAAGGTCTGTTTTAACGATGGTGTCAGCACCGGCCCAGTAACAGAGAAAAACTGGACAAATGGCTGCCACAATGCAGCAACTTTCTGCCACTGCTGCTCCTTGCAGAAATCTCTGTTCGAATCGGGCTCCTCGCAAGGGGTGCGCTCATACACAAGCTGCGGCGGCCGTGGTGCATTCTCCACATAGAGCCTTCTTAGATCAGGTTTCGTCGAGAATGCTGAGACTACGCGGGACGAGACAGGAGGGCAACTGTGGAGCCCTGGCAGGAAATGCAGTCCAAATGCAAGGTGGCGCCGCTATAAGGTGTGTTTCCGAGCTGCAGAAAATGCTGTGAGGAGTGAGAGTTGATCTTTCCTCCATGCCAATGCAATGCTTGAAGCAAGTGTGATCTTGAAATTGACCTGTGACGCAGACGTCAGCTCCTTGTGATGACAATGCTGTGATTGGTCACACTCTTCACCACATATGGTTTTCAATGGGTCACCTCCCACCTCTTCTTTGCAACCACCAGGACGTCCTCCCTGACCCTGGTCATTAACGAGCCCAGGTCACCTTCCTGCAATGTTGCTTTTCATAAAGTAACAATATCTTACCCACCTTCATTGGTCCGAACCCTCTTCCTGCAGCCACCATGCAACAGCCCCTAACCACCCGGTGCGGTGCGCCGCCTCTGCTCACGAGCAAGCGGAGGGCGCCTCTGAGCTGCCTGAGAAGCGGTGCGTCGTTGGGCTTGGCGGCGCGGGCATCGACTACCTTGCTGAGGTGGCGGCATACCCCGCCCCCGACGATAAGATCCGCACCACCACCCTGCAGGTAGCCCCGGGCCCAGCCTCAGCGCTTCCCCCCTAATACAGCCCCAGGCAAGCCAGCGCCGCCTGTCATCGCCACAGATGGTTCCTCCTGGCCGTGTAGTTCTTTGGAGTGGTTAAGCCTCTTTCTATAGTTGGTTGCAAGCAGTCCGGTGTTCCAAATCCCCTTGTACGAGCCCCTCACTTTGAACCCATTGTCTTCCAGAGGAATTGGCTTTGACTCACCTTTGTGTACATGAACAACGTCAAGTTGGAGACTGAAACCGCCCACATGGCCTCCCACCTTCTCCTCCGGCTGGGGAGCCACTTTCGTATTTCACAAGCTTTGGTGATTTCTAACGGGGGGTCATCATGTGTCTTCGCTCCAATCAGGTCCAGGGAGGGGGCAACGTGGGCAATGCTCTGACGGCCGCTGCGCGACTGGGGCTGCAGCCTCGAATCATTTCCAAGGTGGCAGACGATTCTCTGGGGGGCCAGATTTTGGCAGAACTAGAGGGGGACGGCGTGGACACACAACATATGGTGGTGGCGCAAGGAGGGGTCTCGCCCTTCACGTACATCATTGTGGATAGGGCCGGGCACACTAGGACGTGTATTCACACCCCAGGCCAGCCACCGATGCAGTCGCACGAGCTCACACAGGACACGGTGAGGCAAACTGAAGCGCAGCATATAGTGATTGGCAAGACTGTCAGATGGAAGAGAATGGGAGCTACAATATCCACATGAGGATATTGATCCAGAGATACACGCCCGCTCTGCAAGAGCGGCCTCAGCGAAGGCCGTGGACGTTCTTTTCCCGCAGCTGCCATGATTAGGGCAGATTGTGGCCGATCAACGTCGAACGTGAGCAAAAGTTCGGGCTCACCAATCTGGGCTGAGGCTTCGATTGACGTTCTCCTTGTAGATCTCATCAGTCCTGGATGGTGCCGATCTGGTGTACTTCGATGGGCGTCTCGCAGATTCTGCCATCCTTTTGGCCAATGAGGTATGTAAAACACATACTGAACTCTGAACTACCAAAAGCGCAGAGTCTCCCACACTCTTATACCCTCGGCCAAATGAGATGCAGCAAACGCATAACCCAAACTCAGAGTTTCTGTGTGTCGATACGTGTGCTTGATCGAACATTGATATGAAAGTCGTCATTGCTGTCTGCTTGATTCTTCCAACTCGTGGTCAAAGAAATCCCTCAAAAGGAAAAATATTCAGCCGTACATTAGTTGTCACCTCACGGTGCAGCGTTGTGCATCCAAAGTCAGGCAATAATCTCGTGTCGTGTATCTCATGACCGTCGCTCTGGCAGTGTTTCGTTCGTTCTGATTGGTAGAGAAACTAACAAGCGACCGTTCAAAACAGTCTGGATTAGTCTGGATCGATCGAAAAGGATGGTTCGACAGCGCACAGAAAGGACAGAGTTGGCATCTTGAGAGGTCTTTCCAAGTGGCTCTTACCGATTGGATGGAGTGCAAACCAGATCGACATTCAATCGATCACGTCGATCAAGAGCAGGTGCCTCTCTGTCCGGTCGGGCCGGATGCATTGAGGCGATTCTTGAGAAAATCCTCTCTTTCCAACTATAACGCTCGGTCCGCTTCTCCTTGGTGCAGGCTTCCGCTCGCGGGCTCCCCATCCTAGTTGATGCAGAGCGGCCGCGGGACGGCCTCGATGCGCTGCTGCACCTGGCAACGCACGTCGTGGCATCCGAAAAGTTTCCTTTGGTGAGTGTGGGGTAAGCACGCATCGTCCAGCGAACAAATTCTCCTACATCGGGCCTAACGCTTTTTCCCCCTTAATCTCCTCGAATGAACCCCATTCGGGTCACGACTGTGGCTTGTGGCTGCTTGGGGCTTGGCCCTTCCAGGCGTAGTCTCAGTGAACCATCGCCTCGCCCATCCCTGAGATCTGTGGACGGTTGAGATCCTGAGCGTGTGCCCTCTGTTTGAGCTTCCACGCTAATTTTGGGAGTGGGTTCCGGCACAGGCTTGGACGGGCGCTCCCGGGCTGGGCGGCTCTCTCCTCACTCTTCTGCAGCGGCTGCCACGTGTGCAACAAGTGACGGTTACACTAGGCGCGCGCGGTTCGGCCACAGTCGAGAGGCTGCCCCTCCCGGCAGGTCTGTTCGTTTCCTTTCAGATCCTGTTCCGAAATCCTTGTTAGATCAAATCGACTGAAGATTAACAGCCCGTAAGTGAATCTGTATCCTTTGCTTCTGCCTCCCTTTAAGCTGCTCTCGATCATCCTATCAAACTTTCGCACTTCCATCGATATGGACTCTTGTGTGCAGAACATTTTCAGTTGACGTTGTCTTCTGGCAATACTTTGCACGCCCTTCACGCTGAGCGACGTATCGCCCATGCTGTACCGCGGACTCTCTGCTACTTGCCGCATCCTCTGATCGATACAAATCGAAGAAACCAGTCCTCCGACTAAAGCGGTGTTCGATAACGTGCAAATCGCGTCTGCAAAAGTTTTGCACGCGCCTTCTATTGTACGAGGCTGCATCAATGACGGAGCCCTCAGGAGAAAAGTATCAATCCTCTGCAACCAGCTCAGAAAGTAAAGCGTCTCGATGTCCAGCAGGCCACTTTGCAAGCGCACAATGATTAGAGTAGAATCGCTTTCATCATCACTGCTATTGGATTCAATCCTCAACATTTGTTTCTTTGTTGCAACGCAATATGACGCTGAGGCTTCCCTCTTTCTTTCCACTTCAGACGGCGACTCTCCCGCCCTCGACGTGGACGAGGCGTTGCAAGGCCTCATTCTGCGCGCGGAGCAGAAGCGCGAGCAGGCGGGGGCGGGGCCGCGGCCCGTCGTGGTCGCCTCCAAGGTGGGGCCCACCGGTGGTGATAAGTCCACCCTTCTCGGTTTTGAACCAGTCGGCCATGTTGGAGAGCCCTGCATTACCATCTGTGTTAGTGCCTTTGCCTTTTCTTTGAAAGTTTAAAGCGAAACGATGTGAGGTTGCGAGCACGAACTTCAACCGACGTCTTTGCTGAGTCGAGAGTGCTAAAGCAAATTCACTCTGGATCTCAAGCCATGCTGGGTCTCCAACACTTTGCTCTGGTATCGCTTTCGAGGCGATCAATCGGGCGTGTGCGAAAAGCGCCGCTTCTCAGACGGCGTCATCGTCAGCCCCTACCCTCTTGGCTTCCTCTACTGCAACGAAACCATCACCAACCGAAAGCTGTGACTGTGCCCCAAAAATATCGCACCTCCAACAAAACTTCGGATTCTCCTCCAAGAAGTGCGCTCTGCTCACTCGCTCTCTCACTGCTTTTCGTTGCTCCCTGTCCCTCCCAGTCGGGCCGCCTCATCTCGTCCCAGCTCGGCCCAAGCGACGGCGGTGACGTGGCGGGGCGCGTGCTGTACGCTTCGGCAGTGGCCTTGACCGCGCATCAGATTGTGGACACTACAGGAGCGGGGGACGCCTTCATCGGGGCGGTCCTGTATGGTGAGGGCGCATACTACATTGCAGCATCCGATAGGAGCCTCGCGTGCTGGTGATTGTGTCGCGGCGTCTCGTGTGGTATTTCTCGTGATGGCGATTCGAACCGCACACGTCTCGTGGCGGTGCAGTAGGGAAAGTCTGACACAGCCAGGTTCGAATAACACTTGGTAGCTCGATCTTAAGAACGTCCAGAGTGTGGTGCAACTTTTGTTGGAGGTCTCTGGCAACAAGCCATAGGCCCCCGTACGAATCTTGCCGACGGGCTCTATGAAAACGAGCGCTCAACTTCTTGCAGGGTTTACGGTCGAAACAGTCCGCATGTGGAAAGAGTTGAGTCTCAGCCAGTCTTGAAGCAACTTCCGGGAGCGAGTACGAGATTGTGAGATGGATGTTTTGACGTTCAGCTCTGATTACTTCCGCTTGTTGTGCAGCTCTTTGCGCTGGGCTTCCTGCCGAGAAGATGCTCCGGCTGGCGGCGACAGTGGTAAGTCACCTTATGTTCTGTGCTTATGCTCCTCCCTGTTGAAGAGCAACAAAAGATTCAATACCCCTTCCTTGTAATCGACAACAAGGAATCTCAGTAGTTGACGCTTTGAAGCTCTGACGATGCTACTACGGGGAAGCTGTCTCGACAGATGTCCAATTGGTTTGGTCTGGCCCGGTGACTCTAAGTGCGTACAACGCTTTCAGCTCACGTTTGGACGTAACATTCAGTTCGACTTCTTGTGTTTAGCAGACTTTGATCCCCAGTTTATGTATCTTTGGTCGCGCTTGTTTGCAGGCGGGAGAGAAGTGCAAGGCACTTGGTTCACGACCAGGCCTGCCCAGAAGAACAGACCCGTGTATCCAGGACCTGCTTGGCTGATGGTCCACTGCCTTGGCAGACCAGACTCACTAATGTCCTGGTTGTTTTGGCGTTCTATTACATGCTCGACCTGCGATGGTCCGAGAATCCGAATGATCACGGATGAAAAGCTTCGGGAGTTTACAAGAAGGTTCAACGTGATCACAAGCAGCGCGGACGTATATCTGAGTACTTGGCTAGGTCAAATCCGAATGATATGGAACTTGAAGCGCAACCCAACTGGCATTTCACCACGTTAGATTGGTGATTTAACACTGGGCTGAAAAACTTTCGTCGTCTTTCAACGCGGTGGAACTCGACGATCTGAGCTTGTTTAAGGAGCAGCAAGTCAGCCTTTGCAATTCCATGCCCCATCGCGGTCCTTGAAAGACCTGGCGCAGCTCTGTCATGGCGTTGTAAAGAGGATGTAGTAGTGCTGGCAGATCAATAACTTGAGGCAGGGTCGCTGAGAAAAGCAGGGTATGCACATCACCCGCCAGTGACTAAGTTGATATCCCATTTATGAAAGCCCTGAATGAGATGATACGCATGCCCCCATGTTCCGGTGTTGCAAATGAGCGGCCCTCCCTAGCTGGGGCCTGCATGCGCATCAGACGTCCATGTGGGCCACATGGACGGTAAGTACCTTGTAAATTAACTCATTGGGTCCCGGTACGTACCGCTTCGCACAGCATCTGGATGACTTCTGCATGGCAGGAAACAAGAAGGAACCTTGGAAGAAGGACTTGCCACAGGTGACAAAATCCTTAGTTGTTGACAGTGAGTGGCGCTTCAAGGTGCCGGCGGTCCTGCCGGCGCGCAAGTAAACTTCGTGCACTTTGGAAGTTATTAGTCATTTGAGTTCCTGCAATCTGGATAATGCTGGCCGGCTCCATCGACCTGGGCGCACGCTTTGCGAGATCCCTTGCGAGTGGTGGTGGTTTCCGCTGGGTCAATGTCTTGAGAGCACCTACTGTGCAGAGGCACGAGGCGGGTCCCTGTACCTCGTTCGATGGCCACCCCGCAACTGGTGCAGCAAACCCCCAGCCCCTCCTCCGCGTCTGCCCCAAGCTCTAGCGAGCAACTGGAACGGCTCTGTCGTCGCTGCAACAAGTACTTCAGCCCTGCTCGCAATTCTCCCCAGTCCTGTCGCTTCCACAGGAAAGAGTTTGTGTGCCGCTGGCACGACGACCAGCGCCGGTACTATGAGCTGGGGCCGGACGAGCCGCCCTATGCCGCCAAGTTCTACGACTGCTGCAATGCTGAGGACATCAACGCGCCTGGATGCGCCACCAGCAAGCACATCACTTACGACGATCTAGAGGAAGACTAGCTGAAAGAAAGGACGCCGGTTTTTCTCCGTTGTGAAAAAAGCCTCTAGGTGGGGCGGCCCTGACACGTAGTAGCCCAATGGCCGTTCTATGCGAGACCAACCAGATGTCGCTTGCTCTAGAGAGGCGCATCTTTGCGTCTTCCCCCGCTGGGCGAGCTATCCCCTGCACGCTGGTCACAGGCTTTCTCGGCTCTGGCAAGACCACCCTCGTCCGGCACATCCTGGCCAGCAAGGGCGACCTCCGCATTGCAGTGCTTGTCAACGAGTTTGGCCAAGCCGACATTGACGGCGCCCTTTTAAACACCACCCAAACGAGCGCCTCGCTGGGCATTGCCCCTCCCCGTGCCCTCTCCCACGGCTGCGCTTGCTGCGACACTAGCGAGGAGTTCCGGGCCGCTGTACGAGGCATGCTAGAGAGCCAGGACGGCTTTGATTACTTGGTGGTCGAGACCTCGGGGCTGTCGGACCCTCAGCCGATGGCGCACGCGTTAATGGAGCTGGGAGTGCGGCTCGACATGGTTGTGGCGGTAGTGGATGCGGAAGCGCTGTGTGGCATGCTGGAGAACGAGGTGGCCAGGCGCCAGCTGGCGGCGGCGGACCTGGTGCTCGTCAACAAGTGAGGCTGCAAGACTCTCCAGGGAGGGACGCTCGATTGTGGTATGTTACCTGCTGGGGAAAGCTGCATTGGTTTGAGTAGACTTTACAAGAAGCGTGAGATTTTTCCACTCTTGCCCAATCCTTTATAGGAGCTGCCAATGTGCAATTTCAAGGCAGCCATTCGGGTAGGCATTGTACTCGGAAATTTGCTGAAGTGATTGTTGTGAACTTGTCTGAAAGAGCTTTGAAGGGGCTCAGAATTTTTTCTACCTCTGCCAGAAAGTCCCTCATGGGAAGCTCACAAGAATTGTGGCAACTCCCTTGTCTCGTTAGGGGCTTGTCTCCTAAGGTTCATAGGCCGGCGGACGGGTAGGGGCCCTACCTGGTCTGGTGGTTAGGGTGGGTAGGGGTGCGGAGCGCGTAAGATTTTTGGGTTAGGATTTTTAGTTGTGGTGCCCGGCGTTTCTAGATCTTAGGAGGCAAGCCCCTTCGGAGACAAGGGAGCTGCCAGTACCTCACCAGACTCCAGCATTGCTGCCTCTTGCCCTCATACCCCCAGGTCTTCTCTGCAGGTGCGATCTGGTGTCTCTGGCTGGCGTCTCTGATGTCGAGGACCGCGTGGAAGCCCTGACAGGGGGAACAAAGGCTGTGCGCTGCCGCTACTCGCGGGTACCCCTGGAGCTCGTTCTCAACATCGACATTCGGCATGCCACCACTGACGTGGCGCTTGCGACCAACGGGGCAAGTGGCTACTTGTCGCATGAAAGAGTGAGGACTTCTGTGAAGCTGAAAATGAGGGAACCAGAGGGAGTGCCAGTAAGACGAAGCAAGGCTTTGGGGTTAACCAAGATGAACGAAGGTACGAAAAGGATGGCGGGAGGGAATGACAACAATGGGCACTCCGCGCATCTGCCGGGAGGGGCTGTGAGGGATTCTAGTTCGCATCCAGGGAGTGAAAGCAACCGCCGCTTTGATGAAGCAAGGTGCTCACCAGGTTTCCAGGCGGAACGGGGTTCAAGTTCGCACGCCGGTCCATCGGGTCACGTTCACGTGACCCAGTTTGGGTCGACGAGTGTGCATTCGGAGGTGCCCCTGTCTTTGGCTGCCTTCCAGGAGTGGGTGCTGGAGCGGCTTTTGACAGCAGGGGGAGTGCTGCGGGCCAAGGGCATCGCCTGGTTTGCAGAGGACAGGTAAGGTGCCCCTTCTCAAGACACATGCGTCTCTTATCTGTTCAATACCAGATAGCTGATTAAGGACTGCCAGTCGTTCTCGTTTGAGCCTTCGATGCAACACGGGAAATCGACGTTGTACGCGTTTGGACTTGAAGAGCTTTGCTTTCGGCATTCATTTCAACAAGTCGTTGCCCTTCTTCGCCTACTTATGTAGAGTTCTTGTCGAGAACACCCCCAGGTCAGAGGCGCACATCTTCTGTTACAGCGGAGCAACAAATGACTCGAGAATTGGTTTGCCTTCATCCGCATCATGATACCAGTATTTCGCAGATTGTTTTGGAGAATTGTACCCTTCGCTCCTCTTCTTTTCTGTATACGGCTTCCCTTACGACTCGCGGAGGTCAAACTCCAGCTGACGGTTTTCCCCTCTTCATCGCCAAAGGTTTTCCCCATACCTTCCCGCGCTCCTTGCAGGTCCCGCCGTTATGTCTTCCAGTACAGTGGCCGCCAGCGTCTGGATTTGCACACCGAGGGGCTCTGGGAGAGCCCGCCCCACACCAGCGTCGTTCTCATCGGCCGAGACAAGGCCGCGCTGCCAGGTACAATTCCCCAGGCTTGTATTCTAACCCGCTCAGATGATCATTCCTCGTTTCAGCAGGGTTTCGGAATGGGGACTGTTGCGCAACAGAGGGCTCCTGCGTTATTGACAGCAGCGTGTGTCTTTCTCTTCAATTGTTGTCGTGTTGCCAGAAGGAAGCGTTCGTGGGAAGCCGAGAGGGTCTAGCTTGCGACCTCTCTTCTTCCATCTAGTTGCATCTTGATCCCTTGATCTGCTTCAAGCCCGGGGCTCTGTACTTGAGAAACTGGGCACAAGACATCGTTGGATTCAGTATAATCCTTTCGCAACTCAGTCCAGGTGCAGAAGTTTCTTCTGTTCAGAACCATTACTGACGTCGTGCTTTGGTGCAATACCAGGCCTGGAATCAACGCTCGAGGTTTGTGCGGACCGCACACTCCAACCGACAGATGAGACGCGTCCTGTGCCACCAAGTCAAGCTTTTCGAGACCTCATGGCGCGCGACGACCGTTTCAAGGTGCGCCAAACTGCGCCAACCTTGCTCGGTCTGCCTGATATGTTCTGGCAGCTTCGCAGTCTGTCTCCGTGGTAGCGTGCAATTGTAAGCTCTGGCCTACGGTGTTGTATACACGTCGTCATTAATGTAGAGGGTCCACGTAAAAGACTCCTCTGTCAGACGATTGGAGCGTATCGTACTGTGCGCTTAAGTCCTGCATCCCCATTCTCGACATTCATCTTTCTTATCGGATACAACCAATGCTAACAAGACGGCCGTCGAAACAACCGACACTACCGGTGTCTGGTTGCGAAACGACACAAAAGCAATCCGCGGACTCATTGACTTCCTCTTCTGTCTGACGCCCTTAGTCCAGGTTATCTTACGCACTGTTTTTTGCAGCTGGTGGCGGCGACCTCTTGCTTTGAAGCGGACACGGCGAGTTCGGCTCCTTTTCGGGATGAAGCTGACACCCTGGTGCGCTTTGTATTGAAGGGCGATGCGCTCAGAGGGGTCGACCAGGTACGGACTGAGAGCCTACTTGGATCGAACTGTGCAGTTAGCAGCTCATTCGCAGACTGTTCCAGCGAAGCCGTGCCAGGGCGGATGGGGAAGCCGCTGATCTGTGTATCTGACTGGCGCTGTTTCTCTTGACAAGTTGCTGAGGCCAGTATAGCGTCCATGAAGCCTGCCCGCGCAGATTAGCTGAGAGGAAGACGCTCGGAAACCCGCCTCTCGTTTTATTTGAGGACTCTTGTTTCCGAGCGGCTGGACGTCCTGCACCGGACTATCTTGCCCTTACCGTTGTCCTTGCCCGGACGAATCTTGTGTCTTGCTTGACAAACGTTTCATTCATGTGTAAACCAACACCGGATTGCCCGCTCGTAGTGCTGGTCATCAGCGATCTTCAAACGAGAACTGGGCACCCCACAGCTCTCCCTGCTTATGCAGGACTTTGGTCAAAACGATCTTGCTTCTCTATCGCTATTTGACCAAAACCGATTTAGTGACTTGTATGTGCCGTGGGTGCAGAGAGCGCTGACGGAGTCGCTCATTGCGAAAGTGAACGGCCACAGGAAGCTCTTGCTGGCGGCAGTGGACATCCATTCAGAAGGTGGGAACTCACTTTCGACGTTCCGCATTTCACTTTCATCAGCAGGAATGTCACGGAGTTTTTGTTTGTTCTCTGTAAGACATCCCGAGCTTTCATTCGATGGCTTAGCCAAATCGCTTGCCGGTGAGAGTTGCAGCCGGAAGCTTTTTCACTGCCAGTAGTGGAGTTTGTTTCGGAATGCGAGGGTGTACAGTAATGATCTTGAAATTGTTCGAGTCGAGCACTCAGTTTATGCCGGAATTTTCGATGCAGGCTGTGTTGCACAAATGGTCCTCGGGCCTGCTGTCAATGCTGAGGATGCGTGGGCCCTGGTCGCGCAAGAAGCGGGCAAAGCACGGGCAGCGGCCTTCAAGAATATTCACGCCTGCAGGTGCGACTTCACCAGGAGCTAGCAACTCTCGCCAACAGTTTACATAGAAGCTCCTTGCACGCGACTGTACATAGTCGAGACTCTGCACGCTGACTTTGCTGCTCACCTTTGCAAAGACGCTACTTCGTAAAATCAGACTAAAAGTCCTGCGGGCCGATGCAAGACACAGTGCGACGTAGGCCCGCCGGACTTGCAGCGTGCGGCTGTTGTCCATCTATCTGATCATGTGGCCGATGGTCTGTTCCGGCATCTGAGCTGCAATCTCAGCGCAAGAACTATAACTCGATCAATCTATCTTCAGTGCCCGGCCAGATATGTCAATGCCGCCGCCGCCCCACATGAGCCTTCTGCGTGACATATTGTTGCATTGAACATGTCCGATCAAGTTCGATGCATCCTAATTGGTCACATGTGCGTGCGAGGTCAGCTCCTGACGTTATGGGAGGGCCGCAGTATAGTTAAGATCTCCACGTATGTCCAATCCCGTGATTCAGGCTCTGGCACACATGGCTGCAGCTAACATGCATGCACGCGGAACAATCAATCAGTAAAGCATGGGTATATTAGAACTTGCGCGACCTTGAATACTGTATACTGTAACGTACTGCACAATATAGGTGAATATCAGGTACGTCGGTTCAATACTTGCCAGTTGCTCACTCATTGCTGTATCCTTTGCTTTGCAGAAGTCTGGTGAATTCTGAGGGCTAAAAGAGGCTGAAAACGGGCGTAGTAATCCGCAAATACGCAATCCTTGTCGATCGAGTCCGTCGCAAGGCCCCTGACTGCTTGTCAAGGCAACCTTGCGGCTGTTTAAAGCTGAAATGCTATGTGAGTCTCCTACGTATTCAGAATTGTATCGTATGTACAAAATCGATCTTGCGCGCGTCAGTGCCCAACAATATGAATCAGAACCAATAGCTACGCTTGGTCATCCGTCTGATCCGCATCGCTAATCTTGACTCGTCGTTCCGTCTTTGTGGCGTCCTCCCGCTTCTCGTAGCTGGCTACCGCTGCTGCCGCCACCAGGAGCGCCCCGCCCGCCCAGCCCTTGGGGCCGAGCACCTCGTGCAGCAAAAAGAAGCTGAGCAAGGCGTTGAAAAGGGGAGTCGTCGAGTACACAATCTGCGCGGCACATGTCGACGAGCTAGGTGAGAAGGGCTCCAAAGGTGATCGTGGAGAATTCGAGAGGGTCCGCAGCTTAAGGATGATCAAAAAGCGCGCTCGTAGTCAACTGTTCGAACGAGACTGCCGACATGCTCCTTGAAGTCCTCCGGTAGCCATTGGATGAAGCAAAGAACGAACAGCAAACGCAGCAACGCCTTCGACTTCTGCGAATCATACTCGGCACTCGATTTTCGATACGAACCGTCCCAGCAGGCAAACGTCAGCCGACGAGATTGGCGTCCGGCCGACTCAAATTAAGGGCGTGGGCCGAAAATCCGAAAAGCCGACAGAAGCGTGGTGTAGTTGAGCTACGCAGTCTTGTGACAAGCCGACCGGTTCGAGAGCAGTCGGCCTCGGAGCGGACAATCGAATCTCCATATCAAACGCTTTGAGTCGGCACGGACCACGACAGACCGACACAATTTCGATTTCTAAACGGACGCCAACATAGACGGACATTGGGTGGGACAAATGATTCAGTCACCAACAGATCCTTCACGAGGACGCTCTCCGTTCGGATCTAGCAGCAATGAACCGCGCCAAACAAGAAACCTGTCTACTCATAAAATGAAGTCCTGACCTGCGCCTCTGCGGCAGGAACGGTCCTCTGGCCGACCGCCATGATCAGCGACGCAAGCGCCCCGGGGAAGAGCGACGAGTACAGAATTACTCCCCACAACAGGGGGCTGTCCCAGCCCTCCCACGAGGGTTGTGGGGGCCCCCCCAAAGCGAGCGAGGACCCCCAGTCCCAGCCCATCCAAAGGAGCCCAAGGCCAACGCCCACAACCATCTTGGCGGCGGTGAGTGCCAAGGCGGGCAATCGCTGCGCATGCACGCCCAAACGGACCTGAGCAGATAGGAAGAATCCTCAGAATCCCACTTTCCGACGGTGTCGGCTTTTCCAGTGTTGAGCATTCTGTGCGTCTAGGTTTGTGGAAGCTTTAGCAACCACTTTGCAGCGGTGTTGGACGTTTGGGCTGTTGCATGTGTCGTTTGATTTGGTGGTCCAGTGGTTGCTTGTACGAAGCTGGTGTTGGCTTGGTGGAAAAAGGGATAAAACAAACGACTGGGTCTCGAAGATCTAGAGGGGCGTCAGCGGCATGCATTCGACAAGTGAAGGAAACGGAGAGTGTGATTTTGACATCCGAGTCGAAGGGTCAGACACAAGGCCTTGCTCTCGTTATCGATGCTGCAAGAGCGGAATACGTGACGAAGAAGGAAGCAAATGGCAGGGAGAATATGGCCCGACACCCTACGAAACGATGATCCGGTTTGGGACACTCGAAGTTCCTTCGAGAAGGAAACAAGATAACGCAACCACCTAGCGCCTACATTAGCTGAATCACTTCCTATACGCTGCAAGAGGAACGGGGACACATTGAGATTGGAAGACCTTGGCTCAAGCAAGGTTCAAAACAGGCATCGCTACAAAGTCCCCAACCATACTTGAAGTGGCCTTTCCGAAAACGAAATCTTTGACAAGACCTCGTCCTGACGTTTGAGCACGCAAGAGCTTCTCTTGATTGGACCCGACGTTCTGCAGCGGCACCCCGCCTCGGCTCACCGTAAACATGGCGTAGCAGAAGGCTGACGCCAGCAGGTACGCGTCCCCCACTACACTCCCCTCGGCGGTGCCAGCGCTTTCGTTGGAGCTCAGGAGAAGAACCCCCGCAATGCAGAGAGGAACGGCGACTAGCATACTCTTGCGCACGGGCTGCCCTGAGGCCAGCAGGATGGCCGGAACCAGAACGTTGACAGTCTGAATCAGGAAGCCCGCCTGCGTGGCGGTGGTCTCCTGCAGGCCCATCATCTGCAGCAGAAGGAGGGGACGAGTGACGTCAAGGTGTCGTATGGGTGACGTCAGGTGAGGGCTCGAGGCAACTTCGAGGGCGTGGTGCTGCATTCGGAAGGGTTTGGAATGAAAAGTAGAGGAGATACCAAATGATCCTCGTGTTTCAGACGACGAGCTCTGAGATGATGTCAGCCTGGTTCGCAGATCGATTTAGTGCTGTAGTGGACGAACATTGGGAAACTGAAAGCAAAACGGAACAGTGGTAGTCTGTGGACCTTGCAAAGCCTAGCACGAAGCCCGCCATAGATCTAGCTTCTCTCAAAGCATCCAACCAAAGCAAACTCCTGAGAATGTTCTAGACTTACAGATAACAGCCAGTCAACTCACCTCGCTCTCGAATCCATTCCTTGGCCAGTCTTCCGGTGACTTTCAAACTTCAAAGAGGTCTCAAGTTCAACACACCTCCTTCGTACTGAAACAGTCAAACTCGTGCTTGGCGAGCTTCCCACCTGGAGTGCGGTGCCAACAGTGTTCCAGAACCCCAGCTCAGCGCCCGCGAGCCAAGTGCCTGGGGGAAACCCCCAGGCGCGCCATAGGCTGCTGTCGCTCTCTGATGCTTCAGCAGCTGGTTGGGACTGGGACTGAGCTCTTTCGACGGGCAGGACGGCAGCATAAGCGACCACGGACAAGGCTGTAGAGACAAGCATCACCGTCAGCCTACACAGAGCTTTGGCTCGACGAATTTAGGTAAACTGTAACCTGGGGCGAAGGGGCGTTTCAGCTCGTGAAAAAGATGGCTTCCAAACCTTGATGATGTGAGACTGAATGGAACAGACAGACACAAGCATCAAAGAGTGCGAAGTCTTTCTCACCTGATCGCAATGTGGTCAGGATGCTGACAGACGGTGGCCCTGGGTTTTCGTAGATGTACTTGATGGCTGGGCCATACGTACCTGGTGTATAAGAGCAGCCCACGTCGGAAAAGAATTTCGAAATGATTATGTTCTGTACTTACTGAGGGTCACAAGAGGCGATATCAGGAACGTCTTTGGCTCAGACCCTAAATATATGCCTTGCCTTGGCATCCTTGGCGATTGCTGGAACAGAAGAACATTCCAACTCTCAACGACACCCCTGCAACTGAAAGCTCATGGAAGCTCAGGAGACCGTATGCCCCCTTACGCTGGTTCGTGTACGTGTCTACAATACATTTGTGGCCATTATTGATTCTTATCTCCGCACTATTGAATGTCAGCATGAAGCGAAGGCCCGTAATTGCAGATGCAAAGCTCTCACCCCATAGCAGTGGCACCAGAAACAGGACCAGCTCTGCTTTTCCCCTTGACAACTGCCAAGCACTCGACACGCCCAGCGATTCTGAAGCGTCTCCAGAAGTCAGCAGTGGCTCATCTTCTGCCTCTGCACTGAACAGAATAGGCGGTTTAGTTGGCCCTTTATCTCCTGTCAATGCAGCGTGATCCTGGTCAAGGACCTCCTCTGTTTGTGTATTGCCACCACGGGTGGCTTGGGTTGAAACATCTGTCAATCTGACTTCCCTAATAAGTTGTGGTTTCTTCTGCCGCCCTAACTCCATCAAGTGGCCTGAGCAACGCTTAAAGCCAGGTACTTTGGCTGCTTTCTCAATTCTGGCATCTTTCTCAATTCTGGACGGTGTAAGCCTTGCTAAATAAGTCCACTGGCAGCCAAGGTGCGCACCACCAGTGGCGCACCGAAAAGACTGCCTGATCACCAGATCACTGAAGTTGCCTACATGGTACTTCCTGCGAGTCTGGCCTTCCAGGCCGCCATAAGTATTGTGTGTACCTGGCACCAGAACTCCTTGCGTGAGCGCACTTCTTTCTACAGCCAGCATATTAGAGCCCGCCCAAATCCTAAGCTGCAGGTCTCGACGGTTCACATAGGAGCCTGGCCCCTTCCTCTTCTTTCAGGCAACTCTTAGCCATATAGCGCCCCTCAATGCATCATGGTTCATTTGATGTTGCCACCTCAATGATATGCTTGTTGATGGTCGCAGTCAGATTCACACCCCTTCATGTTCGAGATCTGCCAGATGCAGACTTGAAATCGATTTGGAAGTTCAGGGCCACATTATCTAGTTTGCTAGGCACATTGACCGGTTGCCCATGATAGGCGTTGCATGGTGGTGGTGCTTGAGACGTTTTGAGCCCCTCCGGATGGTGGTGCAGAGGGATCTGGCCCTGCTTTTATAAGGGTGGCGGTGCTGTTGCTGAGCCCGCCATGCTGCAGCTGCTTGCGCAAAGAAAGGGTGTTGGGTGGCTGTCGACAGCAAGCCTCAAGCTGGTCCAGCTTCCACTCCTTCAAGAAGCAGGAAATGCCGTAAAGCAAAGGGTCGCAAACTCTCCCAGCGCAGGATACAGAGCTGCAGCTCATCATGGTCGGGATCGGGACGGCAGCGAAGGTGCTTGGACAGGTTGGGGAGGTGCAAGCATGCAATGCAGATCCCTTGGCGCAGCAGCTCGCAGCAGCTGGGCCAGAGTCACCCCCAGCATATCAGGTCCGAGCTGGGCCAGAGTCACCCCCAGAATTGCATCTCAGAGGTTTCTACGCAAAAGCTACTCCACATCCGCAATTGAGGAGGAGAAAGCAGATGTTGTTGTCATTGGAGCAGGGGTTGTTGGTTTGGCGATTGCCAGGCTGCTAGCGCTGTCAGGCAGAGAAGTGCTGGTCCTTGAAGCTGATGCTGCGTTTGGCACGGGGACAAGTTCCCGGAACAGTGAAATAATCCATGCAGGACTTTACTATCAGGTTGGGAGCCTCAAGGTGAGTGGAAAGGCCAGCCGCTGCCAACAAGAGATCTCAGCTTCACCCCTTCAATCTGGTCCAGATCGGTGGGGGCATGAATGTCAGGATTGTAAGTTAATCCACCTTTGTATCTCATCCTTGTTATATCATGGGCCCCTGCACCATGAGAGCATCCTCACACTGCAAGGCACATGTATTGACTGCTGTCAGCACAGGAGATCAATCGGTCCCTTTCACTGCTGTCAGCACGGGAGATACACGCGATCACGCTTCAAAGCAGATCTGATTGCTATTCCCTGTCCTGACGTTCTCCACAGGCCCAACTATGTGTTGAGGGCAACCGAATGCTGTACGACTATGCCCGGGAGCATGATGTTGGCCACAGGCGCTTAGGGAAGCTGATTACTGCTTGCGGAGATGATGAGATCCCCAAGCTTGCCAAACTCCATGTGAGTACCAAGGATTGGCGGCACGATTATTCCGTCCCTGAGTGCGCTGCCTTTGCGGTTGCGAGCACTTTATTGATATTTGTCTCCATCCAGCACAAGTATTGATATGCACAAAGTATTCAGCCAATGATCTTGCTTGCTAGTCCATAGCTCAAATTTTTCATTTCTTTGTGCTACAAGATAAAGCCAAGGTGACCTGTCTGCAACTCATCAGGTTCTTGTGTTCCCGCAGGAGAACGCTAAGGCGAATGGAGTCTCAGACGTCGACTGGATTTCTTCTAGCGAGGCTACGGATCTCGAACCCAACGTGCGGTGTGTTGCGGCGCTGCTATCAACTAATACCGGAATCATAGACAGCCATGGCCTTATGGCGGCGTTCCTGGTGAGCTGGAGCCTTTTGACAGATTCTCCATGTTCAAAGTTGCTTTCAGTGGACGTCAATGAACTAACCTATGTTCGGTCAGTACAAGGAATGGCTGTCGTTTGGCACTTCAGAAGCATGGCCTGCAAATGTAATGGTCAATGAACAGTTTCATCTGCCTTTGAAATCTTCTAGGCTCCTTGTAGGCCCTTTTCGTGCTGCCTCACTCGCCAAGCAGTTTCCGCTTGATAGAAATATCGATTTATGGACCGGCCCTTGTCTAGTGAATTGACGGAAATTTTACCTACATAACTCATCTTCAATCTTTTTCTTTCAAAGGAACCATTAAACACGTACTGATTAACGACATGTGAAGCAATGAGTCGGAATGCTTGTATGCGTTTTGCCAAGCCTCCATCTGCTTGATCGAATATCGCCAGTGTGCTCGAATCGAATCCCCCACCCCAATCAGCTAGCTCCCATATATGCGAGAGTCCTCTATGTCTTTGGAGCTTCTGACCAGCTGCTATGCAAATGCAAACCCCCTACATCTCTCCTCCCCAGGCCGAAGCTGAGGATCACGGAGCGGTGTTAGCTGTCAACAGCACAGTAACGGGCGGCGAAATATCTCAGAATGGCATAAGCCTCGAGGTGACAGATTCTACCGATCTGCGCAGCGCCGAGGGTGCACCTGTGCCACCGACCATGCGGCTCAGTTGCTCTGCTGTCGTCAATGCTGCGGGGCTAGATGCTCAGGCAACCGCCAAGGTGAGGAAACTTTCAACCACGATTACCAGGCCGAGGGCTGCGGTTTGAGATTGCTTGGCAGGGCTCCTTCCCCGTTCACCTCCAATCAGAGATCACTGTGCAAACCTCCGCTCGGCTTTGAATATCGATCGATCCTTCGATTTCGCCAAGGATAAAATGAGGACTCGAAGTAGCCTGTTGTTTTCTACATTCCGTTTCGTTGCTCCATAACATTCCGCCTTCGCCCCCCTACAGAAGCTCGCCCATTGCCCCCCCGAGCTGATCCCCCGGAGGTACCTTGCACGCGGCAACTACTTCTCCTTCTCGGGGGCCAAGTCGCCCTTTTCCCGCCTTGTGTACCCCATCCCCCCGGAAGGTGGCTTGGGCGTGCACGTGACCGTCGACCTGGGCGGCCAGTGCAAGTTCGGGCCGGACGTCGAGTGGCTACCGGAGGGCGCCGAGCAAGCGATTGCCAGGTCAGCTATAGTGGCATGGCCACCGGAAGATCGAAGGATCTCGATGTCTTCCATCCGAAGGAGATCAAAGCTAGATTGCGAACTGTTTGAACACGACAAAATCCTGTCTTGAGCCTTTATGTTGGTTCTCCTTAGCAGCTTTGTCTGGTCGCTCACTTCTTCTTTGATTGCAGCCCGAGGGGTGCAGGTTTGCTTGACGATGTTGGTTCTTCTTAGCAGCAAGGGTTGTCTGGTCGCTCAGTTCTTTGTGGCGTTCAAGATTGCAACTTGAGGGGCGCAGTTTTCCGTGTCGTTTTATTGAATGGACAAAAGCTCGATAAACAAGACGCTCACGACGCCTTGACCAAAGCCCACGGCGCCAGTGAGGCTGTACGAGGAGCATTGCTGTGGTGTTTGAACTCTCCCCGAGCTGGGGAAAAGAAAGACCTTGTTAAAGCTTGACCTGGCCGGCTGATGCACGAACTCTCCTGGTCAATCGTATTCTCTTTCAAGCTACATTGTGCGTTTTCGTAGTTATGACTACACCGTCGACCCCTCTCGTGCGGCCGCCTTCTACTCCGCCATCAGGGCCTATTACCCTGACCTCCCGGAGGGATCTCTCGAGCCCGCATATGCTGGCATCCGGCCCAAGCTGTTCGGCTCGGGGCAGGCGGACGTGGGCTCTACCGACTTCATGATCCAGGGCCCGGCGGATCACGGTGTGCCGGGACTGGTCAACCTGTTTGGGATCGAGTCACCCGGCCTGACGTCCTGCTTGGCGATTGCGGAAGACGTGGCAAGGAAGCTGACAGCAACAAAAAATAAAGTGGGCTCCGTCTAGGCTTTGCTCACAGATCATGTACAGCACAGTACAGAATCGACACGCATAAATTTGCATAGGCAGTATTGAAGATGGGTTTTCAGATAAGAGTCGCACTATGGATAGCGTGTTAAATACAGTTGGTGCCCTATAGGTATGCAGCAGATAGGTAGTTGTTGTGGTGGGCTCAAATATGTGCAAAGTTTGGAATTGTAAATTGAATGCAAATTTTAGATCAAGGAAATGACCTGATACCGGAGTGCAAACTTATTCTTAAGACCTGCTTGACAAGCTTGTCAATCTGATATTACCTTAGTGTTAGAAGAGCACTGATCAAATCAGCCGATTAAAAGTTTGCGGCCAGGTCGCGTTATTGTGCACCGCACACAAGTTGCCATGCAACGGAGTCCGGCTCCGGGAGCCTGGCCGGGCGCGGCCGCTCCGCCAACCGCCGCGGCCGCCCGGGTTGCCATGATTACGCGCGCAAAACCTTTTGGCGACGTGAAGGTCCAAGACCCTTCGCCAAGGGGTTTTGTTTTCCTTGCACGACGTTGTGCCACGTAGGTCCTTTCAGCGCTTTGGATAGGGTGAAAATTGTCCTCCCCCCTGCTTTCGTTCTCGGGGGCACCTCTCCAATAGAGGATCGTCCCCCCCAGAAAGAGGTCCCAGTAGCTGCCCCCCGTATAGCGAAGTTCCTGTTCAGGGCCCGTAGTGTGACCCTAGCTCTCCTGGCAGCAACGCATGTGAATAGGGCAGACTATGATTTCCTCGTCGCACCACTGCCAATAGCTTTGAAGTCCTCCAATTCGGCCTCTTCGTGTAGATATCTGCTTCTGAAAGACCGACAGCTCTCCTTCGCCGCCTTCCTTTCGTTCGCGCCTCCTTCCTGACGCAATGGCTTCCGCTCTGGCCTCCTCCCGGTGCGTCTCCTCCGTGGCTGGCCTTGCTGCCGTCAGCAAGTCCGCTGCCATGACCACCCCCCGGGTGGTCGCCCCCCGCGCAGTTCTCCCCAGCTTCAAGAAGATTGCCCAGACCGCGGGTGTGTCAGTTGCCACTCTTGCCGTTGCTTTCAGCGCCAACGCTGCTAACATTAAGATGGGAGGAGACGGTGGCGAGCTTGCTTTCATCCCTAGCTCTGTAACTGTGTCTGCTGGCGAGACCATCACTTTCACGAACAATGCTGGGTTCCCCCACAACATCGTGTTTGACGAGGATGCCGTCCCTGCTGGTGTGGACGCCGGTGCCATCTCTCACGATGTAAGTCCTTTTTTCGTCCATTGAGGTGGCCAGCATGGCGCATTGTCATCAGACCCGATTGTCTCGTTACAAGCTTACAGGGTGCTGAATTTCAGCATTGGAATTTTGCCGGCACTATTATTTGTGTCGAGCATGATCGTGCTCATTTTTATGGGAGGGTCTTGAGTTTGAGTGGAATCCTTAGACTGGCAGGCGCTGGGGTGTCGTGAAAGTCAGCTGGCATCAGGAGGCGGAATCTGTAGGCGGTAACTGGCGACTATGTCTTTGCAATGCTTTGTGGTTGCTATGTGAACAGGGAATATGGAATCTAAGCTTGTTGGAGGGGCACCTCCCATGCTCAGAAGAGCAGAAGGAATGCATTTTTGATGGACAAATCGGCAGATTTATGAGAGGACATCTACTGAAAGAGAAGGATTTTATGCGCCACATATCAAGGGATTTCACACGTTTTCAAAGAGTCGAGGGAATGCAAGGTGGACGTACAAATAGGGCCAGTGCACGCAGTCAAGGCAAAGGCTTCGGGTGTTGGAACTCTTTCTGAGGTCCAGAATCTGGTTGGTCTCATGGCGCAAGTGATCGTCTTGATTGTGTCCCAATGGCTTCATTTGACGACAGCCATTTCCTCGAACATAGCATCTTGGTCGTAAGCAGGAGCAGAGGTCAAAGTGCAGGGAGGAGTTTCTGGTAGACCCCTCATTTGCTACTCTATCTCCTCCACCAAGACAAGTCAGCTGACAGATGACAGGGGAGCCATCATCACCAAGAAGGAGCTTTTGACGGACTTCGCAGTTTACCGTTATAGATGTATGATTATGACTGATTGGAGGGTGGTTTGCACGGGGTTTCAAATGCCCCTGGATGGAGGGTGTTCTTTTGTTTTGACCAGACCACACATTTGGTTTTTTGGGACTTTCTAGTGGTCTGCACGCTGTTCTTTATCGGTCCACTTCTTGAGGATATTCTCCTCCGTGCAAGAGTTGCCTGCCACATGGCTGTGTTCCTCTCTTGACCGCTGTCACACAGCTCGTGGCAGTGCAAACAAGCTTGACCAGGTTCTTTTTTCTCTGCCAGGACCTCATCAACGCCAAGGGTGATGTCGTGACCGTCACCTTGAACAAGGCTGGCGAGTATGAGTACTACTGCGAGCCTCACCAGGGTGCGGGCATGACTGGCAAGATCATTGTGAGCTAAACGAGTTGTAATATTGAGCAAGGTCAAATTTTTAGGGTTAGGTAGTCATTCTTACGGGTTGCTGAAAGGACCAAGAGAAGGCGCGACACATGTAAATTGTTCTTAACGAAGTTCTGCTCGCCAAATGCCATTGCCTCGGTGCCCATCTTTCAGCATGCAGCCTATTCAATGCAGAGTGACCCTTTTGTTGTCACTTCTGGTGGGTGTTTGCTACGCCACGCGTCTTGTTTGTTGCTTGACAACAGACACGTATGAAACGGAGGGTCAGCTGATGACACATTTTCTGCACTGACGTTGAATCTCACTCAACACTCAACCCATGTGGCTTCTGGTAAAATCATCCAAGTGAAAAGATCCTTAGCAAAAGGTACTGCCAAACCACATGTGGACCTCATCGGGATAAACAGACGCGCTCCATAGTCGCTAGTAGTCGAATGCTGATGCATCTGTTGACCCAAGCCTTCTTAATTAATCATTGCTTGCAACAATCGGAGTCCAGACGCCTTGTTTAATCTGGCCGCCATGCGTTGCCTTTCGTGATTGATTTCAAGATGAATCATTCCATGTAGAACCTCTCTCATGCATCAGTCAATGTATCATTGAAAATAGATTGGCTATAATGATGCAAAATTAAGTTATGGCATACGTTATGCTCATCCGGATTACAGGCGCAGAGTTGCACTTAGCGAATGGCTCGTCAGTGTAGCACTATCTCGTCGGAATTGCGACATGTGCTCAGTGCAAGACAAACTTACATGACGCGCAGAATTTGTGCACACGATGGTCTCGATCTTTTCGTACTCGCCGCAGCCAAATAGGCCACAAGCTTCTCATGGCATACATGTATGAATTGTGTGTGTGTCACGATGGTATACCGTAGGTTTAGTTATTATGGTGTGCAGACCATGAACGCAGTTGGTTGAGTCCAGGATCGCTCATGATTTCCATGTCGCCTGCAGCGCGTCGTCACATGCCACAAAAATGGTCAGCGCAGATATATACACAGTATGTCATGCCGGCACGACAGTACAACACCATCCGTGCATATACATTTCGCACTGCAGGATTGGCGAGGGCGCACAGCTTGATTCATGCCCAATGCGCAACTGCACGATTGGCACAAAATTGAGAGCCGTAGCAGACACACCGGCTCTCTCTTACAGTGACAGAACTTCCCGTCTACACAAGTGGGCCGATTCGGTCATGCTTTATGAGCTCCAATCTCGTCATCTGTCATGACCATACCGCGTCACCTCCTTTTCCGCTATGGACAATCCCTTTTCAGCCTCTCCATTTCCTTGCCACACCAACCCATTCCTGACGACTTGTTTCAGCTCCACCGGCTCCCCATCCGCCATCCGCATGACCGCCGGGCTGCCCTCCAGATCATCCTCCTCCGGCAGAAGCCGCGTCTGCTCGCGCACCCCCCCGTCCTCCCCCTCGGGAAAGCTCATCTCCAGCTCGACGGGGCCCTCCTCCGCGGCCTGCGCGCGGGCTTTGTCCCGGTCCTTCGGGTACGTGAAGTACAGCAAAGTGTAGGTCAGGGAACAGATGGTAAACGGGATGGCGATGGTCGTGAAGAGCCCGTTCGCCAGGGAGCGCGCGTTGGAAGCGCGCTCGGCGGCCGCGGACGGGCCTCTGAGGTCAGCGGGGTCGTCCGTGATGTAGCCGTAAAGGCGCTCTGCTACGAAGCCCACCGCGGGGGAGCCGAAGGCGGAGATGACCGTCTGGGAGAGCGAGAAAGGGGCGGCTTTAGCAAAAGCCTGTGCTCTGGAATAAGCAAAGGGACAAGTTCCACGTGCCAAAAGAAGGTCAAAATCAAGCCCATTGCGAAGCCAGACACCGAATAGGACCGTGTGGTGAGGAGGGAGGAAAGACGGCGCAAGGAGGCGAGGCGTGTCGTTCATTAAAGGGGCGTGTCTTCAAACGGAGGCGTAAAAATCTCAACGAAGTCGTCCGAACGGAGGCATGTCATCAAACCTTGCAAGACTCTAGGCGATACGAAAAACTTCTGGAGGTCAATGTCGTAAATTTCAAGGCCGATTCTTGAACCTCTCGAAAGTGCTTGGTCGGCTCTGACAATGCAAGCAGCAGGTCGACGAAGGCTTCAAGAAGCCCGCGGTTCAGAGTAACCTGCAGAAGAGCAGCCCGGAGCGGGTGCGGCGCTGACCTCGAAGCAGCGGTCGAAGGCGTAAATGGAGGTGCGCAAGTGTTCCGGCACAATCTCGGCGAAGATGGGGTTGTTGGTGGCCGGCGCGTTCCACGAGATGAGCAGGCCCATGGAGAACAGCGTGCCGCCGTGCGCGTACCACAGCGCCGGATTCCGCGGGATGAGGTGCAGCAGAAGCAGGGCCAGCGGAACGGCCACGCCCGACGAGAACTGCGAGCACATGATGCGGCCTGCGGGGAGACAGGGAGCGGGAGAAGTGTCGGAACAAGTGGTCATGCTTAATCAGTGCTAGAAGTGACTGGAACAAGTTATCGGAAAGTTTTGGCCTGCATGAGCTGCGAACGCCCCCTCAAGGTTCAGGAGTTCACAGTTCGGGCCTCTTATACAGAGCAACCAGTTCTAAGAGTCACCGGTCTGGTCTTGGAAGAAGGGCGTCCAGTAATACGGCTAGAAGATGAACATCTGTCTAGAGAGAGAGGGATGTAAGGAGGGTTCGTAACCTGATGCCTTCCTCCGCAGACAGCGTTTTGCAAACAGGGTCTCTCGAAGCAAGACAAAACGGTCCCGTTCATCAACGAGGCCAACGTACCATAAATGTTCTGTTACAACAATGAACCAGCCTCGCAAACGCAAAAGTAACAATATGAAGGGCGGCAGTCCCAACGACCTTTTCACGACAAGGAGCGATGACGTCTTGATCAAGAACCGGGTCCAAGCGTACCAGAGTTCGGCAACCTGCGGGCAGCGTAGTCCCCCAGGTATCCGCCGAACAGCCCCCCGAAGCACGTGCCCACCGAAAAAGACGCCACCAGCGCCGCGGCCGCGCCGTGCGAGTAGCCCACCAGTTCCAGCCACAGCGTGTAGAACACCATGGCGTTCCATGGGAAGCTGCCGATCGTGCCCTGACACGCAAATGAGAAAGGGTGTCACAGGGGCCGGACGACTCCGAATGCAAGGGTCTTTGAGACGGTCGGACTTTATCAAGTCGAGGAGACTCTGCCAGTTTGATAAAAGAGGGTCGCAGGGTCACACCCTAGTTGCCAGCCTAGAGGCCCCGAACCCTAGAATGAGATCAGAAAGAAAAGAAGAGACAAGAAAAGAAGAGACAAGAAAAAAAGAGGGGACACCCGAGTGGTAGACGCGATGAGTACCGAATGCTAATGCTAGGTGCTGTTCCTTATGAAGGGAAGTGCAGCGTTACTTTGACGCGTCTGCTTGGTCGGTTGGCCTTTGCGCTGCCCTTGCCCAAAGCGTGGGCTTCGCTTCGAACGCTTAAGCAACGATCACCCTCTTCCCCTCGTGGCGAAGAGGGGATCTCAACGAAGAGAATCCAAAGAAGGTGAGGATAACCAGAGCCCTAGCAAAGAGGCTACCTGGGACTTGACGGAAGGATACGAGGTTCAACACTTGCGATCGAAGACAAGACTCCAATCAATTAATGTGGGCAACACGAGAAGAGTCTTTCCAGGGCATATAGACGACAAGTTGGCCTTCCCTGTACTGGCAGGCGCGAGCCTGTGTCAACTGATATCGGGCACAAATATTGCTACCCCGACTCCCGAGATCCTCTACTTGTCCTCTTTGAAAATATTGCTTTGCAATGATGGCTTCCTAAGCATTAAGCGTCCGAACAAGAGACCTGATGCGATACTCGTTGGTTGATTTTGGTTGCGAGCTTTATGACCAACCCCTGGGTTCAGCAAACTCGCCGACATTAAATCTGACACGTTCCGCAGCCTTTGCTCTTTTCGCACTGCACAAGCGGCCTTGATGATTCTCGGAAGGTCAAACCGCTGAATTGACATGAAGGAAGCCAGAGCGCAGATTCATCGGTCACGGACTTTTCTGATCCACACAACAAGGAGACATCGGCATCCTGCCGAAAGGTCATTGTAGATCGTTGAGCCCGAGTCCCCACCTGAGCAATGATGATCTGGAAAGTTCGAAGAGACACGACGGTCTTCGCCCCCGCCCACAGCTCCGTCAGGCTCTCCTTGACGCTGGCGTCAGCAGGGGGTCGCGCCACGTCAGCATCCTCGTCATCGAGCTGGGCACTGCAGGAGACCGTCTCTCAGATTCCACAACGTCTCCGAACACGATCCAAAGTGCTCAGAGGATCTGAGCACAAAGCTTCAGTGAATCAGGCCCTCGTTTTCACAAACGCCCGACTGAGTTTCTATGAGTGGACAGTGCCCCCGAATTGCTACACGACTTCAAGTTGTGCCGCGGTCATTGTCACCACGGCGAGGATCTCAACACGTGCAGGCATACAGAATGCCCAGAAAGACAGGCACTGAAAACTTCGTTGGCAGCTGGGCACTTCAGAGCAGAGTTGCTGCACTCGACAATTGCAGCCCCCTTGCTCTGCATATACTGGATCGCAGGGCCACTTAGGAGGCCCCGTGTCATGTTCTTGCTTGAATCGAAGAATTTTCCCATCTAATCGCCACGTTTCTCTTGAGACAATTGTTCTGCACCCTTCCAGAACGAATAGGAGCTCCCCAGTCCCACTTTGCTGGGCACGCGTCAAAAAATCAATGCTCCCGTTCATTGCTTGAAGTTCACCCCGGACCGCGGCTATTGATGGGCTCCTCACCGTATGCTTGAGTACTCGTTCACGTCTCGCGGGTCCACCGCAAACACGTAGACCGCCACGCCTAGGATGACACTGATGATGGCCAAAACAAAGAAGGCAAGCCGCCAGCCGGCAATAGGGCCCAGCGCCGTCCCAGCCAGAAGAGTGGCAAACACACCACCCACGATCGCCCCTGAAAGAGACAATGTTCCGAACGCGTGAGAAGAAAGGTGCTTCAAAGTGAGCCCAGCTTGATTTTGATTGTACGTCCTTCCAATAGTATTTGTTTCTGTGTTCTCTCAGTACAACTGATGTGAAGACAGCCCTCAGTATCTTGACTAGAAAAACAACAATCACTACAGTAACGTCCTTATGCCCCTTCCCTGGCTCCGAGTTTACATGGAGTCATCCGAGATCCGCAATAAGAGAGTTACATCAGTGCGCTCAGCAGAGCCCACCTGAGTTGCTGGTGAGTTGCAGCCAGCCAAAGCCCGCCCCCCGCTCCGCTTCTGTGCTCGCATCTGCCACCACCGACTGGATCGCCGGCAGCACGACCGCCAGGCCCACTCCATTGATGGCGCGGGCTAGGGCGAGCTGCCAGTAGGTGGAGGAGAGCCCCACAGCTGCAGTCGCAATGCCCCACCAGATTGCGCCCAGACCGATGATGTGGCACCGGTTGTGGCGCTGAGCGAGGTATGCGGCGAGGGGGGACGTGGCAGCCTGGACGAAAAGGAGGGCCAGAGATTGATGGCACGCCCCAAAATGAGGCGCTCTCGTTGAGTCCTCAACGTGCAAAGCTCTCTTGTAAAATTAAATGGCCAATGCTGCCAAGTGCGGCGTACAAATGAGCAAGTGAGAGAGTTCCGGGAGTCACCAAGGAGCAGAACAAGCGTACCACCCTTTAGATCGTCTTGAAAAACAAGGTGCAAGCACAGCGGTGGGCTTACCTGCACCAGCCCCCGAATGAATGTCAGAGTGCCCAGGGCAGACGGGCTCGAGTGGAAGACCTGGCTGACTTCTTGGAAAACCTGAGACCAAAGGGAAAACGCGGTCAAAGTTTGCTTTGAGCAAGAATGTTGACACCAAATATCAGCTGTGGACACGAGACATTCATTCGAGCTCCATGACGAAAGTGGCGTCGGTTGTCATCAATGCTAGGAATTGGGGCCCGTACAGAGATCACACGTACAGCTGGGAGGAGCGCCTCATCGGCCTTCTCGGTGATCGAGGCAAGGTTGACGAGCAGCAGTGTTCGCTGCGCCGGACTGAAGTGGTGCCAAAGCTTCTGCATTACACGTTGTGCCATCGCCTTTCACGGGCGGTCCCTGAGATGGCTTCACCATTGGCGCTACGCCATCAATCGCAGACACGAGTGTGCACACCTTTTGCTGCCCAGTTAGAAGTTGCCCAAATTGGACTGGCTCTCAACTGAGTGATGGCAGCAACGAGGATCCGTGAAAACGATTTGCAAGGTAGAATGCCGAGCTGAGAGTCGTCCTCAACCAATGCTGATACTAGTGATAGTGAAGGGCAACACAATGCAGAACTTTTTAACTTCCAGTTTTCGACCTTGAAGTTGGAAGAAGTCGTGCATTTCGAGTTCAAGTTCAAGTTCAATCATACCAGGTGCTTCAACTCTAGGACGTTATTGTCAAGGGGCGCCAATCGAGCTGAAAGAGGTCTTCTCTCAGCTAGTCCTGTTAGGCCGCCACACAGCCTGACAGTGACTGTTGGCTGCCATTGCACTGGTGTGCTACAATTGTGTCACTGCTTTTGATCTAAAAGAAAGAATACTTGTATTATAAAGTACCTTGGAACAAGTGTAAGGAGGAAGGTTCAAGCATGCCTCCAGGACACAGGCGCAACCGCCCACATAATGAGGGCTGGCAGGGCCGGCTACTCAACAGGACGCTAGGCGGAGGTGAGCTGTGCCGTGGAGAATGCCTGAAGGTTTGGTTGCCGCAAAGTTTGAAAGATGCAAAATCCATTGATATGCTTTTTGTCAATTGTCAAATGACTGTTTCAAAAGGTGGTCATCAGCCTGGTGGACGCACTGCCGCGCCTCAGATGACGCCGGCATTAAGGCCCTGACTTTTGAGCTGGAAAAGCCCAATTATGCATAGAGAAGGTTTTATCTGGACTTTTGAAGCTTGTATCTGCACACAAGTCCATGGCTCAACCTCCTCTCAAAAGTAGTACAAATATTGTCCGCCACATCCAGTTTTCAACTCTTTGAAACTCAATTGTAACATCTTGCCCAGGTTACAATTGACAACTGACCGAGGGAACATGGCCTAATCCGCTCACAGCTTTTATCACGCCCAACACAAAGCCCTTGGATGGCGGTCCTACTTCTGAGTAGTTCAAGACGGGGAGACTTCTCTTGGCCAATTGAATGAAAGCCACATCACTGATTTTGCTTTCCATGTCCTCCGCTGTTCCGGAGCCAGGTGCAGAAGGGCACTTGTTATTTGAAGAAGCTCACTGATCCCTGCGCTATGTAGCTCATAGCTCAAAAGAGTGAGCTTGTTTTGCAGCTGGGGTTGGCATGCTAGGGGGCTCTTTGGTAGCTCTCTACAAGGGCCGGCCAGTCTCCACCTACACGCTGACCGTGGGGCTTAATGCAGCAATTGCCACAGCGTGCTGTTGCGGTGAGCGAGGTCTTTGCGCCCACTCTTCCCAGGTCTTCTCATGGGCGCATGATCACTTGAAAATGAAGTTGCAGCAAATGTTACTGCTTGCGGAAAGGGCGGCCTTCTCGTCTCGCAATTGAAGCTCAGACTTGTCTGCATTAGAATGATTCTTGATTGATCCGCTTAAAAGACTGCTTCCTGACCTTGAAAAGTGATAAGTTACTGGCACATTTTAAGGAGAGTTGGGGAACCTTAGAGCAGAACTCTGGGAACTTGCCTCTAAGCATTCTAATTCTTTCACTCACGCCACGAACTGTGCAATCACAACACGGATTAGAAGGAACACATGATCGGAGCATTCTGGCTGCGTCTTATGGAGAGCCAACTGATTCGCTTAAAAGATTGCTTCCTGACCTTGAAAAGTGATAAGTTACTGGACGCATTTTAAGGAGAGTTGGGGAACCTTAGAGCAGAACTCTGGGAACTTGCCTCTAAGCATCTGATTCTTTCACTCACGCCACGAACTGTGCAATCACAACACGGATTAGGAGGAACAAATAATCGGAGCATTCTGGTTGCGTCTTATGGAGACGGCACCAATTTTAATAAGATGTTTAGGAAGAATCTCTTTAACGCCGTTTATGCCTGATGCAGGGGCCACCGAAGCTGTGCGAGAAGTGCGTCATGGGATGGACGGATGGCAGAACGCACTTGTGGGGTCTGCAATCAGCGGAGCCTTTCTGGGGCGCTTCTGGGGTGAGCTCCTAGCGCTACTAGGAGCTCGTCAATTATTTTTGGTTTCAGTGTTGTGCTGTAGCTCCTTCGCTTGCAGAGAACGTTACTTAGTCGGGAAGCTACAGACTGAGGGTATCGTTCATCTTGCGTCGTCTCCCTGTCTGGCTTCTTCATGGCTCTCATCATCCTGCAATGCCTGCCTTATCTGGAACCAGACAACGGAATTTATCTTTTGACAGTGTCGATAGCAGTGTCCATTAACAGTTTCGATAGAAATGTTGATTGATGTAGGAACGCAGACTTTTTGCGAGCTGGCGTATCAAGGGGTTCTGGAGCGCCAACATACACTTTATTTCGGCTCGCTTGGCTGCTGATATAGATGTGATAATGCCAAAGATGGCCCTGTTGAGCAAGTCGCCTATGGTCGATTAGGCTCGGCAGCTGCAGAGGAAGTTTTGAGACTTCAATATATTTTCATCTCTGCAGGTGGCCCGAGCCGAGTCCTGCCGTTTGCATTTTCCTTTGGAGTTCTTGGAGTAGCTGCCTCGTTCGCTTCAGACCAGTTGCACGAATACAAGATAAGGAGAGCACTCGTCAATTTAGAGACAGAGGAGACAGAATCGGGAAAAGCTTTACATTGTCTGGACGACCGTCAGGATGGATCGGAACGTAGAAAAGAGGAGGAAAGTGCGCCTTCCATGTGGGACTGGCTGCCGGTGCGGCGAGCATCAGAGGACGAAATCAGGAGGCGTGAAAACAAAGTGGAGGAGTCTCTTGCTTCGCAAAAACAACGGGAAAACAACGGGCATTGATTGCATCAAATCCAATCTCCAGTTACTGTCACTCAATGCCAGACTTATGTTGGATGCTGATTGAATGATGCTCAGTAGGTAGTCAGCTATTCCAGCCGAAGAGGTTTGTTAGCTTGCTTAGACCAGGACTGACTCTTCGTGACGCCATAGGCTGTGCGACCGTACGGCTTCAGCATACAAACTGTGTGTTTGAGAGATGCTCGATCAATACCAACTTACACGACTGGTGTGGGGTCCTACAAAATACCATTGATATCCTTTACAGTTGCTGCGGACAAGATCCTTAAGGGTGACGACGTACGGTACTTTGACAGTACACCACCTTGATTGGATGCCTGAGTCACTTGTGTCGGTCGGTGTTGACGCTCAGTGAGCTGTGTCAGGTGAGTACGCTCCGCAGCTAGATATGGCCTTGGAACGAAACATAATCATGCATGCACCTTACTGTTTTGCATGTTAGAGTTCGTTAATTAGCAACCTACTACACCTATCATGCATCCATGAGCCTGATTCTGTAACCTGCGTGAGGCGCCTCAGACCGTTTGGAACATGCATGGTAGCCAGTACGTACAGGCTATCATCCTATATGTTAGGGCAAGGCTAGCCATGCATATACTAGCTCAACTGTATAAGAGGTGTAACATGGGGAGTCGGCGCCCCAAATCCATCTTAACATCGTGGATTTGCAGTCAATC